AGAAAAGCTGTCAGCGCTCTTTTATCCCCAAGCAAAGCTTTATCTTTTATATCCTGCAGCCTTGATGCTTCACTAGAAAGAAAAATAACTTTAAAGTCAAGCACTGAGAATGAAATATGAAACTCTGAATCACCTATTTTTCCAATTTCGATGTGACATTTCTGCTAAAAATAAGGGTTGAATTGTCTTTAAATTACGCAAGGTGAAAATTCACTGTATTTGTTCCTGTTTTAATTCTAAATTTGGAACCTTAATTGACTATAATCCTTTTTTTTCTGCAAGAAAAGTGCATCAAACACACACACGCACACACACATACACACACACTCTCTCACACACACACACGCCACATCCTGTTTTTCTGTGTTCCAGTTCACGGCAAATGTACGAAGAGTGCAAACTGTGAACTTGTTGCCTGCATCCATTAGCATCATTAGAATTCACAAAGCATTTTCAGATCTATATGTGTGTTTGTGTGTTTGTTTGCTCCCACGGCAACCGTTCTTCTGAACGTGAGGGCTGGTCTGAATTCTCTGGAGCTGGAGAGACCCGATCCTCTTCATAACTCTCAGCCACAGCTGTGAGAAATAAATAAAAATCGGAGGAAAAACCCACTCAACTTTCAAACCTGGAGCAGGTGGCTGGAATTTCTTAGTGGGAACAGCCACTTTGAACTGGGTTGAATCCATTATGGAGGTCCTCCTGACTCTTTGAGAAGGCTCCACCCTAACTAAACTGTACAACAAGGAGCATTCATGACCTAAAATCACCATCGGGATGACATAAAAGGAAGATCTACAGATATTTTAGGTGTTCTATCCAAGTGAATACCTCTAAGAAGCCCCTCCCCTTTGTGTTTGTGGGTTAGCATGCAGGTTTGTCAGTCCCTGGAAACCACTGATAAGCGCTCTGCAGCCTAAAGATCTGCATCCTTTCAACGTGTCAGGGTCCGTTATCGAGTAAAGAGAAGGTTTATGGTCCCGGATTGGTTCCCCGGAGAGGCCGTGACCCATTTCCTCCAGTATAGACTGGGAATGCAAACAGGCCGAGTTGGATTGGCAACCACAAACCGTCCCTAAGAGCCCAATCCGATATTCAAAGTTCTACGTAGCTTCACAGTTGCCATGGACACCGTCCGCCTAGGCCCCAAACAAGTAGTTTTTTTTACCAGGCTTTTTGATCCACTGTAAATAAACCGTTCACATGTGGATCCTGATTTAGGCCCAAATGTTTTCCAGGCTAAAAACCCTTCAAATTAGCTTGATGGTTATTTTAAATATCAATTACAAAGGAAATCTTATTTCTTTTTGCAAATATTGACTCATTTGGACTTTGATAACGACAGGAAAGGGGCACCGCTGTGTTTTCTGATTCTGGGTGGCCTTTTACGGGATGATGTCGGCTTTTAATGGCTGGGGTCAAAGGTCACAGGCGGCCTGTGTTGGCTGCTTATATGCAGGAATTTCTCCCATTTCTCAGAGTGACCGTTAAACAAAACAATCACCGTTCTATTCCCAGATCAATTAAAGTGTGAGATCATGTTATTAATGCACATTGTTATTGCATTATTATTATTATTATTATTATTATTATTATTATTATTATTATTATTATTATTATTATTATTATTATTATTATTATTATTATTATGCACATTATTATTATTCAAAGAACAAGAAAACCTAAAGACATATTTATCCGTAAGTACATTAGAGGTGGACTCAGGCCCTCAGGTCAAACCTTTTCAAACCAATGAATGTGTTCATACATGTTTCTCAGCCATTGCTTTCACCCACTGGGGATGAATTAAATGTTCTATCCTGCACAGAAAAAATATCTGTGCAAAAGGTATTCATAAAAGTTGTGTCGACAGCCAATTTAACAAAGAATTTCAGGAATTCTCAGAGGCATTTTAACCATTCCGATCTTTCATTTTCACTCTGTATCTCAGCAAAGAGTGTAAGAAAAGGTGGGTTTTAGTCACTTTCAGAGTAGAAAAGAAGACACATTTTCACCTGTTGTTTTCACGTCGTAAAGCAGACGGGATCCGAATCGCAGTCGTGGGATTTCTCGCCGCAATTTCAACCTTAAAATGCACAAAAGCGCTTTCCTTTCTCTCCGTCTACAAGTTGAGGCATTGATTAAATGTCAGGGGAAGCAAGTTAGCTTTCATTACACCCTTGATTGCATTTGGAGGCATTGTTGCCGAGCAACATCGCATTATTAGATATTTGGTTTAGAAATCTTTGGGCCTCTGGTGATTTTCTTGTGCATGCCCAATAAAGTTAATGACTCTTCTCTTTTCTTCCTCATACGTACGTGCCTCCCCAATCGGGCCGTTAAAATATGCTTTTAGGATAATAAATATGGACCTCCCCCCCTCCTGTGACCTTTAACCTCCACTGTTTTGGGTCTTTTGGGGCTGCTTCATAACAGGGACCCATTCCAGTACTTAAAAAACAGCTTTGAATAAGATCTTTGTGTCTGGGAGATTTTCTTTTAGAGGACAAAATAAAAAATGTGAGGAAAAAGCAGTCAGGAGCGAAACACTTTTTCAGGCTTAATTTGCTTAATCTTCTCTGAGTTGAGGCCTCTAATTGACCCAGTCTGGCCTGTACTTTGTGTATTTAGTATGAGACATTCAGACATTCACCACCTATTAAGGAGGAGGGAGTGTAGTGGATGGTGCTGGGTCATCTAAAGACAGGAACCAAATGATAGTTTTAACTGGGATATTTGGAAAGAACTGCAGATAAATGGGTCTGGACTTTTTTAACTTTTGGGAGCTCCCGCAAAAACTCCTGAAACTCAGGAGATTAAAACCTCCTGAGTTCTTTTTTTTCTTCAAAGTAGGTATTTGTTGAGTTTGTGCTACTCTTAAAGCTGGAGGGCGATCTCAGTTTTCTAATAATCCAGAGTTTGGATATTGGATGCTCACAAATTCAATTCAATTAAATTAAATTCAATTTTATTTATATAGCGCCACATCACAACAACAGTTGTCTCACAGCGCTTTCCAAACAGAGCAGGTCAGACCCTACTCTGAAGTTAATTACAGAAACCCAACAATTCCCACCATGAGCAAGCACTAGGCGACACAGGCAAGGAAAAACTTCCTTTTAACAGGCAGAAACCTCGAGCAGAACCATGGCTGAATGGGAGCCTTTATACTATTTTATGGTTCTCATGAGAGTTTTTTCATTTCATTCCTTTAAAAAAAAAGTCTCAGATGTGTGGATATTTATCGGTGGAATAAAGGGTCTATGCTGGATTGGACCATATTAAGTAAGATCCCTTCTTCGTGTTTGAAGTGGGTCGTTTTTTCCGGCCGCGAGCAGGAAAAAAAGCATCCCACTGATCTGTGTCAGCCCTGGGATGTGTAAAAATGGCCGTTAATCCTCCACCAAACCGCAGGCCCGACGACACAGAAAGGAGCTCGTAAAAGCAAAACAAAGAGAGCAAACCGGCAACGAGCAGCTGCTGCGATGCCCACAGGAGTTAGCATGTTTACGGGATCATAAGAAGCGATGGGAGGAAGTAGAGGAGCACTCAGAGCATTAAGCATCGGGTCAGAGTGGAGTGGCCTTAAGGAAGAGAGGATTTTTTTTTAACGTGTTGTCAAGTTGTGTTTGATTTCTAAGGATTACACAGTTCCAGACGCGGAGAAGACCTGATTTTAATATCTTTTTGCGCTATTTGGCTATATTAACAACTCCCCGTGTGGGGCAATGAATAGAGTTGAAGTTGAATTTTGAAGATGACAGAATCAGAATCAATATCAGAATAAGGTTTATTTAAAAAGTAGGTTTTTGACTTGCAAGGAATTTGCCTTGGTGTTTGGTGCACAACACTGATAAGAGAAGTAAGGAAATACAATGTAGAAATAAAAATATAGAACAGAAAATATCAAACTAAAAAGTACAATCTTTAAAAATATAGATCTGACTTTGACTTCTTTTGATTTTTTAAATCTAAGTTAAAAAAAAAGCTGAGCAGAAGCTCACTGTCATTAGTGTTAGCATTTATTATGAAATAATCATAATTCATATTCACTTTTTCTCTGTTTTTGTAAGATTTTTTCTGTCTTTTTTCATTATTTGTCTATTACAATGTATTTATTTTGATTTCTTCTGGTTTACATACAGTTTAATCTCCAAGTAAGTCGTATCAGTTCCAATCTGTTCCAATAATTTCCACTGTCTTGGCATGAGAATAAATCGAGGTAGTTTACAAAAAGAATTAAAAACCCGTTGTCAATCAGTGCTATCGATGCTGGTTGTGACGTCCAGCAAAATTCAATCTGGTGACCCGATGGTTGCTGGAGGACCATTAAAGAAAAAAAGAACATGTCTAGGGACCTCCCGATAAATAAATCTTTCTCTAACAAAAGCCTCAAAGGTCAGAAGCTCTGCCTATCGACCAAAACACTCTCATGTACCAGATACTGGGCCCATTTCTGTATTTACGAACCAGATTCTGCTGCTCGCCACTTATTGAACATGAAGTTGAGTTTAAAAGAGTGAATTAAACATGTGGAGGATCCAGTGATATTTAAGTTTCCCTCTCTCTTCCCTCCCGTCTCTCTTTTCTGTCGATGTCCAATCCACATAAGCCTTTCACAATTAGCAGGTTGTTTGTCCAGGCAGCGTCTCATCAAAGGGAGATTTAGTCCAAATCGATAAAAGTAGCCATCTGCTTTGAGGTTATAAGCTCCATTTTGGTTCGGAGGGATGGAGAACACCTCCTGGGAGCCAAATCCCCGATTCCCTCCCCGTGAAGTGCTCCAGTTCCTGAAACATGCACGCTTTTGCCACCGGGCGGCCTCATCCAAAATGCATCCCTCCTCTTCAGTCACTGAAAGCATCACGAGGCGTTTATGTACAGAGTTACAGAGCTAATCAAAGTTTAGAAAGTCTGTGGTGAAGTAAAAAACTCGTTCTCTTTCCCTTAGTGGAGAAACAACATGTTATACGTGGAAATGAGTCCAAACAGTGTGAAAAACATTCTGATTTCTTTTGAATTCTGTTTAAAAATGACCCATTTCAATGTGGCATTGATTCTCTTATACAGACACAGATGCTCATAAATGTAGAAAAGATATAAAAAATGTATCATGTTGCTTCTCTGACTCAGGAAGTTTGATAAAAAAAAAAACATCCTTATTAAATACTTACTAACTTATGTAAGAAAGCTGTCAGTATATTAGCTTTCTGGTCCAAACCAAATGACTTAGAAAGAATTTTTAGTCAAAGATTGATCAAAATCGAACAACTTTACAGTTATAACAAACCATATTAATAACGCTGCCGCCTTATTTCTTTTAGTTCATAATTACACATTGACTAAAATAATGATAAACTAATACTAATACTTATTAACGCACAGCGCCATGCAGGTCATCTCCAAATTGTCTAATATGGAAAGACACAAGTAGAAATAACAAATTTGCTCGTTTTTTTTCAGAGATCAGAGCAAATTAACGTTCCCAGAAATGTTTAAAGTGCTTAAATTTTAAGGAAAAATGAGCCCTGTGGTCAGATTTGTGGTCAAGATACAAGGCTTGAGGGAAAGCATTGATTGGTGGGTGATTCACTGACCACTTACCGGCCGTTTGGTGGTGGACTTAGCACCTGGAGCAGCTCTTTCCCACTGCAGACACATCGGAACCTCACAACCTTTTTTAATTATAATTGTCGGCTTCCTTCGGAGAGGAACGGCTGATTAACGGGATACAATTAGCTGACTCTGTGTTGATTGCAGCCGGTTTACACTTTCTCATTTAAAGATACGTCATCCTCAGACTTCACTTCTCGCTCAGATGACCACACCTCAGAACAAAACAGCTCCATCTCACACATATATATCTGCCATAATAATCATTAAAGCGCCATTCATTCATTTGTTCTTCCCTCACTATTACCGCTCCAACACGGATCGGCTCTGTGGATGATTATTGTTTTTGCCTTTTCTGAAAGGAGTAATTAACTTTGTGAGACCTTTTCACACAAAGACTGCTCTAAAATGGAGGTGATCCTCCTTTTATGGTTTTTCTCCACTGTGATTTTGTTTTCCGGGCCGGGTTTTGTGTCGTGATTCCTTCTTTGTCCTCCGATCTTTGTCGGGTTTTTTTTTTTTTTTTAGCTGAGTTTGCAGGATTTATTAAGTTTGTCTTTAGTTGTTTGAGAGTTACTCTCTGGTTTTGTCTTTGTAACTTTTTCCTTGTCCAGTCCATCTTGTCTTCCCTCCTGTAGCCAAATATCTCCTGTGTAGTTCATTGGAAATTCACAAAAATCTGAATTTCTTTTTCTGAATATCATTAAGAAAAAAATTTCAATAATAATTTCCAATTTTTGCACTTTTAGGCGATTTGGCTGCATATTTAGAGCACAAATTCACGTCTTTTCTCTTTTGTGTGTCCACTATATTCAAATTTGGAGGTTAATAAACTTTGAAATTCAACTTTTAGCAGTTGAAGCATTTCTATGACGTTAGGGTTGACTGTTCTTTTTCTTTTTTTTAAATTGTTGCCTTTTTGACACGCCGTCGCTGAATGCAGACTGTTCACTTTTTTCTTTTCACCTCTTAAAACGTGTGAAGCTTTAAGGAGCTGTGAGGCTGTCGGATGCTGGAGCTGAGCTGGCGCACGTGCGCCGACGTGCACGGAGGCTGTTGCCCCCGACGACTGATGCGTGATGGCATCCCGGAGACCAGATGTACTAAATGGGCAAAAAAAAAAAAGTCATTAGACTGGAAAAACCAAAGAGGCCTGGCACATATTCATGATCACATTCATGCTAACAGCCACCTGCTGGCAAAAGAGACCGGGACCGAAAACATCCAAAGAGATTACCCAAATATACGTCCAAAAATATGCTTTTTAGGCATTTAATGAGTCGTGTTCAAAGTGAGTTTTGGTTTGGGCAGCAGTTTCCTTTCCACTGTCTGCTGAGAGGAGCTAAGAGCTTCCCCTAATGGTAATGCAGGAAGTGCTTAGGCCAATGAGAGATGACCTAATTTATGGGCGCTATTAAGGCTCAGTCCTGGAAGTTGTAACAGAATTGACGTTATTTATTCATTCGTTGGGTCAGATTTAGTAATCAAGCTCTGTAAAATGCTTCATTTAAGTTTATCCCGGTCGTGCCTTTATTATTTTTTTTAGGCTTCGTAAATATACATAAGAGAAAGCCACCAGCTCAGTAAAACTTTTACATCATCTGTCAGAAAAAGACACTAGCAAAGGCGTCACAAAAAAATTGATGCAACATTTTACACGGCTTACTCAAAAGGAGACAGATTTCAACAGATTTTGTTTGTTTTTAGACCTCCTAGTTTCAAAAACCGAGGAGGTCTTGACATTTTAAAAGGTTCGCCGTACGTCTGTGCTATTTATACAAAGAGAATGGCGAGCAGATAATGGCAACGTGGCCTCCGTCTAATTATGATATGGTTTCTGCAATTAAACGAGGATGGCATCCGAGTGGTCGCCATAGCAACACCTGGATCGCCGTGTGCTGGAATCTGCACGCGGAGCCTGACAGTTTTCCCCCCGGCGTGGATCCGGATTTGAATGAAAACTGAAATATTGTTGTCAGAAACTATTTGCGCAACACGTTTTCCAACAAAAACCTGTTAGAGGACCGGTTTTTCCCACCTGTTTGCCACTCAAAGGTCTCAGGATTATGTTAAAAAATGTAAAAAAGCTGCTTTTTCTGTAATATAAGGTTGGGGGGCTCTTCCATACTGCATATGGATCCATGTGGACCCCTGTGGACCCATGTTGGGCTATATTTGGTTGCCTCTGGACGGCTGCATGCCCTGTAGTCCCGTATCTGGTCCTGTCATGTCTCTAGAGAATCCTTTTGCAATACAGGTTATGCAAAATGTTCCAAATAGCCCTCATTTTGAGAGTCTGGAGAACCAAATTCCTTCAAAACCAAACAACTCAAACTGGTCTGAAACCAAAAATTTTAAAGAAACATCAACTTCAAAGAAACTACCATTTCTTCATGCATTTGTTTTTCTTTTTATATGGATGTGATAGTTACTGTTGACCTGTTTGGCTAAGAGAATCAAACATGGTGGACCAACATTAATCGTCCTGCTGTCTGGAGAATTTCTATAAATTGTGTTTAACTTGTTTCTATTTCAGATTTTGACGTCTCTTCTTTTTAAGCCTTTTTACCTTTAACACGCTCCCAAAACTTGTAAACACAATTTCAAACCTCGCTGGAAAAGTTGAATACAGAAAAAATCAGCCATAAGCTGTAATTCCTCTCTGTTGGGGGTGTTGTTGTGACAGTTGTTGTTATTTCTCCAGAGCTCAACGATGAACCTCTCACTTCCGTAATTACCGATCAGCTCAGAAAACTCACTGGGTTTGTTTGTTGTTCCTCACACTGAGAACATACCATAGTTTATCTTCCTAATTAACCATTCTGGAGAAACACAGCCCGTCTGTACCAGCGTTGTTGCTTTCCTTGGGTGAATCTGTGCACCCCATTCACTGAGCGCCTGCCTCTTCTCCCTATAGACGTATCTGTGAGCCTGTTGTCCCTGCTGGTGACCACCTGTGGTTTGGCTCTGTTCACCGTCTCCCTCTTTGTCTCATGGAAGCTGTGCTGGGTCCCGCTGAGCGGCCGCTTCCTCCCAGATGTCCTCAAGGGGGCGCACTTCTTGGGAGGGGACCAGCAACCTGTCCTCACAGAGGTAAGAAGCAAGGAGGACCTCACAATCTTCATGCAGGATCCTAAAGTCATTGAAGGGAGCGTAGAATCAGGTAAAAATTGACCACTGAAATGGTATTTGCAGGACAACTAGATACCCCAGTACCTTATCTTTTAAGTATGCATGTTAAAGAGATGTGCTTAAAGTATACAAACCACCCTGAATGTGTTTTATTTCTGCACAAATACGATATGAAAACCTGAAAGACCAAGAAACCAAATGATAATTAGAATCCAGTTCATTTTAATACAAACAAAATACAACCAGTTCTCTAAGTTTCCAGTATATCCAATTCACGTAAAGCCAGTTAGCAAACATTTCCTAGCTCAGGAAACCGGTGGATTGGGCTGAATCTTATCTCTATTCTCCATGATAGAGCTTCAGGTAGGAGCCCAGAGTTTAACAAGGAGCCCATAAAGAGGAGCCGAAACTGGAGAAAAACTATCCCTCTTTCTAATTTTCATGAAAACTTTTCGGATCAGCTAGAGGATTTTCAGAGTTTTGGGACAATCATGACGTATTACAGCATGGACGCTCCTACATTACTCTCTGAAAATCCATTCCCACAGTTCAGCACTTACTTATTATTTCAGTGATCAGGCTTGAATTTTTTCGACACCGATAAAAAGTTCCCGAAAAGTTGGGAAACTGATTAATACTTATTGTATTAGGTCACCGTTTAGGGAAAAGTAATCGGTCACTGATGGCGTCTGAAGAGTTCACGCAGGTCGTAAAAAGAATAAGTTTAACCTTATAATGTTAAATGTATCATATTTGATACATACGGTTTCTGAAGTCTTTTGGATCTGAGACTTTTTGCATCATTCAGTGGTAAAAGCTTTTCTCAATCCCCTGTTGTACACATTCAGATAAACCTGATAACAGCCAGTAGAAGACTACACCAAAATATATTTTTGACTTATTGTACACTAATTTGATCAAAATAATTTCTGTTTTTTTTCTTCATATGTTGTTCAGGGGCCAAAGAAAGACTTCAGACTAAAGAAAATCCAATATTCTTCCTATTTTTCTTGGATCAGGCTTTGAAGGGTTAACCAGGAGCCAACTGTTTCTCAGTGTTTTTAATCTTTACCGGAAAAAATGACCATTCCGACTTCACATCCGTGTCCAGTGACGGTACTATTACTGTGGGATTTGCAGGTAGATGGAGAGGAGAGAGAGTACAGCGAGGACGGCTGTGTGAAGGAGCCCTCGGGCCCCACGGCCGTGGCCGTGCCGGAGTCCGGCCTGAAGATCAGCCACACCTCGCCCGACATCCCGCTGGAGGCCCAGACTAAGGTGGAGAAGAACCAGGTTCACACTCTGGCCCGAGACAGGGTCCAGAGACAGATCACCGAGCCCACGTCGTCCGTGAGGTGAGTGTTCGGAGGTCAGGGAACGAAGAGGTTCCCCCCAGAAAAGCGTTTTCAGCTTTAACGTTCAACGACACCAAACGCACAAAGGTTTAGTTTAGTTTAGTCTTATTAGGATACCCATTAGTGGTGCTGTGTTGGTGCTGTGTAGGCTGCCTCTCTCTGCTCCCTCTGTCCTTCTCTCTCTCTCTCTCTCTCTCTTGCCCTCTTTTCCTCACCCCCAACCGGCCGAGGCAGATGGCCGCCCACCCTGAGTCATGGTTCTGCTGGAGGTTTCTGCCTGTTAAAAGGAAGTTTTTCCTTGCCTGTGTCGCCTAGTGCTTGCTCATGGTGGGAATTGTTGGGTTTCTGTAATTAACTTCAGAGTAGGGTCTGACCTGCTCTGTTTGGAAAGCGCTGTGAGACAACTGTTGTTGTGATGTGGTGCTATATAAATAAAATTGAATTGAATTGAATTGAATTAGCTGCCAAATAAATGGCCACTAGTCTTCCTGTGGTCCTCACATGAAAAAATTACATTACATTATGACAAAACCATTAAAAAAAATCACATTAGGAAATAATAAAAACATAAACAAGAGTGGAAATATGCAACATAGATACACAGATCAGTTCATCATATCATCTGCAGTAGTTCTGAATACAGTATCTTTTTGAAGCTTGTTCTGTTCTGAACTCTTCGTGTGGTTATTGGTTCCAGTGAAATACGGCTCTATAATGCACTGTGGATTTTAGATAGTTTGTTCTGGGTCGAGAACAAATGTCTCCACCTCGTGCCCGCCTTGTTAAATAATTGTGACTTTTTTCAACAATGACTAAATGTTCAGCAAAATATTAGGGCTGTTTTTTAAAGAAAACATTCCATATAAATAGGAGAAGTCTTAATTTAAGTTTATAAGTAACTGTTAACCATGAAAGCCGTCTATGCATTGAAGCCACATTTGTTCTTTGTGAGCACTAAAGGACCACTCTAGCCGCCCTGTTTTGTGCCAGCTGAAGCTTGTGAAGCTCACTCTTTGAAGCAGATGACCATATCACCGGGCGATACTCCAGATAACTCAGGACCAGAGACTGTACAACCTGTTTAGCAATAGCAGCGGGTATGAATGAAACACATTTCTTCGCCACGGAGGTTTGATTCGTGAAACCGCTGTTTCGCAGGCACAACTCCATCCGTCGTCAGATGAACCTGTCGAATCCCGACTTCAATCCTGCCCAGTTCCAGCGCCAAGACTCCCTCTCCGGTCTGGGCCGGATCAAGCCGGAGCTGTACAAGCAGAGGTCGGTGGACGCGGAAGATGGCCGCCGGACAGACAGCTGCGGGCGTCTCCACTTCATCCTGAAGTTTGACTTTGACCTGGAGCAGCTGATCGTGAAGATCCACAAGGCCCAGGACCTTCCCGCCAAGGACTTCTCAGGTACCTCCGACCCTTACGTCAAGATCTACCTGCTGCCCGACCGCAAGACCAAGCACCAGACCAAGGTGCACCGCAAGACTCTCAACCCGGTGTTCGACGAGGTCTTCCTCTTCCCCGTGGCCTACGGCGAGCTGTCCGGCCGAAAGCTGCACTTCAGCGTCTATGACTTTGACAGGTTCTCCCGCCACGATTTGATCGGCCAGGTGGTGGTCGACAACTTCCTGGACCTGGCCGACTTCCCCCGGGAAACAAGACTGTGCCGGGATATCCAATACGTGACCTCGGTGAGAGCTTCCTTTGATTCTTACTCCTATCTGCTTTTGTCTTATAAGTCACGTCTGGGGGAATGTCTGGTGTCTCGTCATGTCTTGATTACCTATTGTGTACACCTGGGGTTCCCCTCCCTCATGTGTTTAAATAGTCCTCGTTTCCCATGTCCTGTGCCAGTGTGTTCTGTCAGACCCGTGGATCTTAGGGGGGACTCAGATGCGGAGAGTGATGGTTCCAAGCGGTTTATTTGAACAAAAAACCGCTATCAAACGGAGTGGATGAAGACAAAGTTCAAAACAAGGCTGTGACAAAACTATGAACAAAGTATCAAATCAAGATTAACCAGACTATGAACAAAGTATCAAAGCAAGAGTAAACAAGGCTATGGCAAAGTATCAAATAAAGATTAACAAAACTGTGGCAAAGTATCAAAACAAGACTATGGCAAAAATACTAAATAAAGTTAAGACTATTGCAAGGCTGTGACAAAAACAAGGCTATGGCACAAAAAGCAAGACTGTGGCAAAAGTGCAAAAATCAAAACCTTACGTGGCGAGGAACAAAGGACGCGAAAGAAAAGGGACACAAGGTGACGAAAAACTCAAAAACACACTGGCACAGGACAGGGGAAAAGAGGACTATTTAAACACATGAGGGAGGGGAACCCCATGTGTACACAATTGGTAATCAAGACATGACCACACCTGACATTCCCCCAGACGTGACATTTGTTGGGTCTAAATACGACTCCTAGTTCCTCACTATCAAGAGTTTAGTTATTATTCAATAGACCCAGGAAGAGGCATCGGAATAAAAAGGCTTGACACAGAGGATACGTTTTTCTCAACTGCAGAAGAGGGAGAGACTGTGTGGCCAGAGAATGCCACACATCGAATCTCACCCACATTTCTCTAGCAGGAGAGTTTTATTAGACTGATAGTTGCTAAGCAGTGTACATATTATGGGATAGGAAAGTATTGGAGGTCATGCCCTTATAAGGTTTTTCCCGGTAGTTGGCCTGTTGAAGGCCAGACCTTGGAAGACACAGATGGTAGACAGATGGGAGTCAAAACACACATATTTTAGCTTATTCATGGATTTTAGCTTCAGACTAATGTAAATACGAAAAATAGCTTCTACACATTATATACAGGACTGCAGCCCTTTGGCTTCTAGTATTGGGTTGGCGAGGCTGCGTGGAGGTTCTGGTTTGGACTGTGACCTCCCAGATGGAGGTCTTTTGGTTTAGACTCAGCTTAGGTGTACGATTCAGGTTTTCTCTACATATTTCTCTACATATCCTCGAGTTGTCTTGGACTCTGATGTCCTCCCACCTCCCCCCCAAAAAAAACCTACACAGCTAACTGACAATTCTAATTTAATGGTAGCTGTGAGTGTGAGAGTAGATGGTTGTGTGAGTAAGATCCAAAGCTGAAATCACAATCTTTTTAACAGTCTCATGGGGGGAAAAATGGGCAGAAGCTTCTGTAAATTCCTACTACAACACCAAAGCGAAACAGTATCAGCAGACTCCATCTTATTTTCCCTCCAAGTGGGCCTCGTATCCAGTTCTGGGAGGCAGAGACATAGAAATATACTTAGACACAGTTAATGTTTGATGAATGCAGTTGGAAACACTTGGGGTTGGTGACCCAGATCTACACTGACAAAACACCAGGGTTGGCTTGACAGAGATACAGCGATACTGTCTATATTATATGATGCACTTGGATAAAACTGTAGCACAGCGAGTTAGATCACCCTGCCAGGAAATCCTACACGGCTTTCCTTCATGTTGAGCACTATAGTGCCACTTAATTTGAAGCAGAAACTCTTCCCTCCTGCTGTATGTGCGTGTAGTTTAACAGTATTGAATAATTATGAAGATGGATGCGCTCATAATTTGAAGTTTTTCATGAATTTTCAAATCTGGTTTGCTGCCTGTGGTGTTCGGCTTTTTGACGGCTGCTCCGCTAACACACGCTAACGTTGCTCCCATGTGCATGGAGGCTAATAACACAGTGTGAAATCCATTTTTTTTTTAAAGATTGATAATAGATCTCACTGAGGTTTTACGGAGTTTTAATTCAGTTTGTCTTAAATTGCTAGAATAACTCAGCAGTGCTATTCTACCTTTAAAAACTCCTCACCTTTCACACTTGGCTGCCATTTTATGCATTTCTTCCTTACTAAAACTCCCATTTCTGATTTATTTGAGTGGAAAATGCCCTGTGGTGGGATTAATGAGGATATTGAAAAGTGCAAGAAAGCTTATGTCAGGTAGGCAACCTGGGGAAGATAGGAAACTGATAGGAATGTTTATGTGGTAGAAAAAGAACACACTGGGACAATAGACAAGAGTTTGACAATCTATTTGGCTTCCTGTGCTCTTTCTGTGTTGGAATTATCATACAGAGAAATTAAAACAGGCATATTTGTCACTGTGAGAGGAACTCTGCTCTGAATAGTGTAATTAGAGTTGCTTTTTTTGTTTCAAACCATCTGATGGTCACATTTTACACTTTTTTAACGCAATGATTATCAGTTATGAAATAAAATGTATATTATGTTTAATATTTCAGAGGAACCAGAAAAAGCAATTGAACTCAGACGAGCGAAAATGACTTTCAACAAAAAGAGTTGTTGACATCAAGGCAAACACAGCCAGCATTAGCATTAACCAAATGACAGCCTGGCGTTTGTGATAAACCGAACGGACGCAATTTAAACTCCCACAAAAACAACGCGTTGCTTGGAAACGAGGCGATAAACTGGGCGGCCAGTCGTCCTCCGCTCCCTTAAATCCCGCTCCACATGTTACAGACAAGAGCCGAATGGCAGCAAACCACCTATTAAACACCTGCAGCAAACTGCAAAAAAACGACCAGTTGTGCGGATTTCATCTGAGCTCGTTAGACTTAGAGCATTTTCCAAACTCCTACACATTCGAAAAGGCGTATTGTTTTATGCGATCACAGACCGTATAAACTAAATTCGTCATCAATCCTGTTACCGTCAATGGGTGAGTTGAGTCTCAAGAGGACAGTGGAGCTCAGAGAGTCCGTATAAATAACCACATACAGGAGGATCTGTGAAAAAATGATGAGATGTGAAGCTTGGAAGGTGCAGAGAGCTGGAAGCTGAGATCCGGCTGAGGGGAGTCCCAAACCGTGCCTGCAACGGGAGGCAACAAGGCCAAATTATGCAAAGGCTCATCCTCAATAAATGAGAAACAGGGTGTGCAGAAGATATAAATAGGAACTGGGTGGGGGGGGGACACGTGGGAGATGCTGAGGTTTCTGTTCTTTTTCTGTTCTTTTTTTGGCCGTGACGATAAATAACAGCACAGTCACACAAACCAAAGAGGACTCTGGAAGCTCAAACAGCTCAGGGCTCCAGACCAGGGAGAGTGTAGCTGTTTAAACAACTTATCTCATAGGAGACACTCACCAAGTATCTCAGGATTCCACCTGGCCGTCACACTGTGGCCCGTCCAGCATCTCCATTTCCAACATAGGAGCCAACTGTTGTCCTCACCCGGACATGCCAGGGTCCAGACGGGTGGACGTGGATTCGAAAAAGCATTTAAAGTGGCCTAAACTAAAAAACAGAGAGATTTTTGGTGGATTTTAGTTTTTTGGTCCGGTTTGTCTTTGTTTTTTGTTTTTTACAGTTCTTGGTTAAGATTTGGGAGTTATTCTATTTTTCTGCAGAAATATTTTGTTTGTTTGTTGCTTGTTTCATGTTTTGTGGTTTCATTTCTCAGTTCTTTATCGGTTGTGTCTTTTGTATCGTGTTTGACTTCACAGTTTGTTTGTTGTAGCTTTTCCTTCAGATTTACTGTTGCATCAGCCTCTGTTTGTCATTCAGGATCTGTCTTTGTTATAACTTTGGGGTTGGCTGTGTTCTGTTATTTCCTCATTTCTGCTTCATTGTAGTTCAGTTTCCAGCATCTTACTTTCGTTGTTTGAATGCATTCAAATGTAGTTTTTTTGCGACTCCTTTTCTTGTATTTTGTAACAAATCTCGACCTTCTTAACCTCTGATCTGCATCTCTCCTCCAAGTGAAATACACATTTACAGTTAATCTACAGTTGACAGACTTCCCAAAGATGACTGAGGGAAAAAAATAATGTTATGGGAAAGAATAGAACAGGATTTAACATGTTAGCATGTTGGCATTTAGCATGAATCTGGCATGCAGCTGTGTGCACCACAGGGAGGATTTCAAACAGCTTAATCCCCCATAAAGAACTCTGAGAGATCATTAGACTGTTATTGTTTACCACTGGACAGTTTGCATGCCACTGGGGGGGGGGGGGCCGACAACATGGCCGAGAGCGATAAACAGCATCATCCCGGCCGTGTTTGCACACATTTTCATCTCAGTGAAATCAGATTTCATCTGATGCTAGAAATCAGACCACCGCAAATGTGTGGGACTTCCTGTTAATGGAGGGTTTGTTTGTTTTGGTTAAAAAGACATAGAGAAAGCATTGGTACCACCGTGCGTTTTTCTGCAGTTGCCCTCTGATGGTTGGCGTGCGCTCCCCTAATTAGAAAGATTTTGTGTGATTTGGCTCATGCACAGAACAATTAATTAATCAATTAATAAATCAAACGATTCATTCAAAGCAGGAGAATGATCGGTATCTGTGTTTGGGACTTACTAACCGAACAGAAAAAGACCCAGAGGCCAGACACTCCTGTCTCTGAACACACAGACACATGCACAAGTCAGGCTTTAGCCCCGCCCACAATCGACAGCTAAACGAGGGCAGATTAAATGGGTTAGATCCTCTTCGGAGGCTTCGAAAATGTGGAGGCAAGTCCAAGTCAGAGTAGTCCGCTCACATGCGAATACCACAATTACCCAAAACGGATTCCAAGCACCCGATATTACTCAAACTCTTTATCTCGAAGCCAAAAAGATGAAGTGTGATCAGTGTGTTTCTTGATATAAGTTAGGGGTTAACACTTCTACACAGAAAGCTTGTTTAGTGATCTCTGCCTTTATGTGGGCAGCTGCCGGCTGAGCTAACTGATTTTTATTGGACAGCGAACGCACCATCGGCTGATTGGCTGCTGTTGTTTGTTGCTTCCTCAGTAAACAAGCTTAGTTATCTTGAGATAAGACACAGGTAACAACTGATGGTTGGACATTTGAATCTCAATTTCAGACTTTATTGGGTTTTTTTTTCTTCTTTTAAACGTGTCCAGTGTTTGGCACCATCCATTTTTCTTACTTTCCCCACATTATGATGCGTCCACCACCATGCTTAAACATACACACCTTCTGTAACATGTGTTTATTTTGTAGGTGTATTTAAACTGGCAAATTGGGGGAGGTTTCACATTAGTCCGTGGCATTTTTTAATGATATATCAATCTAATAAAAGCAGGGAAGATGCTCTCTTAAGGCTCATGTTGCTGAAAGCTGCTCCAAAGTGAACAAAAGTGAGACACGAGATCAGAGTTTGTTAGAATCAAAGCTTCGTTTGGTGAATTTGTGTTTGTGTCGCCATCTTTGAGGGAGTCTTGAAGGAGTGTCCAAATGTGGAGCCTTTGCTCCGACTTTCTCTCCGTCCTCAGAATAAGTGGGTTAGGTCCCTGGGGGGATCTCGGGGATCCCGGTTGGTCCACTCCTCAGGATGTTTGGATGCATTTTAATCACGGTTCCTGGCACCGACTAACCTTCTACCCACTTCTGACCATATGCCCCAGACTGCGGTATACACAGATTTCTTAATCACGTGTGGATAAGAAAATAAATTAGATTAATCCTCCAGAGGAAGTATCTATATCATGAGGGCAGTCATGGGATAAAGTTGTGATTTTTTTGTGTATTTTGTGAGTTTTAAGCCTTAAAGACTTTGCTATTTCTGGCTCAGGAGATCTTCTGACTTTATTTGGTGCAAGGATCTAACACTTTTCTATAAGAACAACTTGTGTTTCATTTTGTTTGAGTACTTCTGTTTCGGGATCAGAGCTCGGGTGTTACGTCTGTAATAATTCTCATCTTTAATACGAGAAAGCTCCTCATGGTAGGAAATATAAAGGGTCTGTTAGGTTTGGATCTTTGTGATTTTTCACCTGGCACTTGAAGGCATCTGGGAGGTGTGGCCAGTTCGAGGAGCTTATATAAAAACTCACCAGGTTGACAGAAAGCTCCTTATTTTCCTGTTTTGCTCAGTGTCCTCACGTGTTTCCCAGAGTTTTCTTGATTTTACGTCCATGCTTTGTAATTCTGTTTGGTTCAAGCCGGATTCTCTTGGACTTCATATTAGTTTTGCTTTATTTGTTTCGGCTTTTGATATTTGCCAATTTCAGTTTTTTTCTTTTTTCTTTCTTGTGACCTAAACAGCAGATGCCAGCAAGGTATTTTTTTCCATTGCGTCTGCTGGCAGAATTTTGTTTTGAACTTTCCTGTGTTTTTTTTCTATTAAAGACCATTTATGCTATTTCTCCTGTTTTCCTACAGCAATGTTCTTTCATACAGGGAAAAACTCAGTTTTTTCAGTGATCCGTAGCTGATATATTTTTCCCCAGAGTCTTTGTTTGTATATTTATGCTGCTTTTTAGCACAATAT